ATTACAAGTATGCGCCTGGTGGCACTCCCTAGAAACAAACTAATAAGAAAGAAAGAAACTAACTGACTGACAGCATCTTAAGCTGACAACCCACTAACAGCAACTATAAAATAACAATTAAATAATCCTCACAACACCTCTAAACAAGAAATCTTTTCGGAACCATGAAATATGATACAGAATTACAGCCACCCAACAAAGGAAAGATTTCCTATCCTGGTTTGAACTTGAAAAATGCAGGGAGTGCAAAAGAAGATTAAGCACAAAAGCATGACCTCCAGAGATGAGACTCCCCATAGGAGAGGGAAACCAAATAGCACAAGTGTAAGGAGAATAGAAGAAAAGATGCATTTCAGATTCAATAGCTGAATGACAAAAAGTACAAGTGAATTGGCAAGCAAAACCCCTGGCTTCCAGAATCTCAGAAGAGAGGACAAAGCACCGTAAAACTCTCCAGAAGAAAAGCCTATAACATGGCAGAAGAGGCAGATTCCACACTTTTCTGATGAGGGTTACCATATGTTGGGCTAAGTTAGAACCCCTACCTGACCAAAAAATATTGAATTGCTGAATTTATGGAAAATTTCCCAGATTTACTAAGACTCCAGTAAAATATATTCCTACCTGGGGCTCTAAAAATATGGGTGTTGCAAATCATCTCTAATCAATCCCCACTAAAGCACTGCCGAAGGATAGAGACATTCCAACCCCATTCCCATCAATGATGTCAGCCAAAGTTAGGTTAGCCTGGCTGAGAGGAGCTGGCCCCATAGGAGCCAAGAAGCTAGAAGGAAAACTGATCCAACGAACCCCCCAGATACCGACTTAAGAAGAATTTCTAACCCTTAACCCAAGCAAGGGAGAATTTTCCATTAAAGCTTTTGGAAGATTTTTCTAGAAAAAGGACGATTTCTTTCTAAACCGAGTAAGAAAAAGATCATTATTTTTAGATATATACATTTTAATAATTGAACCCATACAGAATCACTATGCTCTAGGAAAGACTAAGCAATTTTCAACTGAAAAGCTTTATTAATTTATTTAGCTTTCCTAAGACCAAGGCCCCCTACTGACTTAGGAGAACAAATTGTATCCCAATTAGCCCAGTGCGTTCCTTTGGAATCCCAATTAAAGTTCCACTAAAAGTCCCTTTATATTTTATAAATTTTTTCATTAACTTTTTTTTGGGAGTTCAAACATAGACATGACATGATTAGACACAGCTTGGAGAACCGGCTTAGCAAGAACTAGCTTCCCTGCTTGAGATAATGTAGAAGTTTTCCAAGAATTCAATTTTGAAGCCAGATTATCAATCGGAAAACCTGCATGCTGTGCCTTGTTCTTTTTCCAAAATGTGGGACTCCTAAATAACGGGATTGACAGTCTAGGTTCCCCATTCTCAGCTGTCTCCTAAGCAACCTCTCCCCCTTATGACCAACTCCCTTGCTACAAAACCATACTTTCCACAATTTATGAGCTGGTCAGACATGAGTTGAAATTTATTAAGGATTTCCAACAAGTTAGCAACCATATCCCTTGATGCCTGAATGAACAAAAATACATCATCAGCAAAAAATAAGTGGGAAATTGACGGGGTATTCCTCATGTTGAGCAGGCAATAAGTCAATAAGTCAATATGCAATTATTCTTGGTAAATTATAGACGAGGCCCAGGTTGTTTTCCAGGGAAAATGGCGTCTATTCAGTCTATCTGTATCCATGCCTAGGGGACCTTGTGGGCACTTAGTTGTATTGGTGTGGATTTCCTTGATTTCAAGTGGAAGGTGTACTAAATGCATGTTACCTGAAGGGCTGAAACAGTTTTTATTAGAGTACAAGTTTTTATATATTTGGTTTTCATACAGTCTTAAGTTCCATCTTGCTGTAGTCCTATTTTATTGTACGTTTTGAAACTAAGAAAAGAGATCTTATGGTTCATTTTCAGATTTTGGGCACACCTATCAATGGCATATTTGTTCACAATATGGACCTGCTACATGCTTTACAAGGAGTATGATAGAGTAGCATTTATGCGGTTACATTATTTGGCATCACGACAACGGCGTGTAGATCAATTCACTGTGAGGATCACTTGAATTTAATTTTTTGCAACTATCGTGGAATGTGGAATAGTTGCACATTGAATGATCATTAAGTAGGATTTCTCACGAGAAAAAGGCTGTGTGCCCTGTCTTAACTTCATTTGTTATCAATTGGGTTATAATTTATAATTGTCATGAAATTGAAAAAGTAATGAAATTATTGCACATTAAATGCTCATCAAATAGTATTCTTACAATAACCCTTCTATTCCTTACCCCCAAGGATCAAAATTTCGTCACGTATCGGCCGATACATATCGTACCGGAGCCTTCCCAATATGCCCCTACAGGGAGTGTTTCGGGTTGACAAGTGGTTCAGAGGGTAGACCGGCCTTAAACCGGACCCTCTGAATCAGTTTAAAAAAAAAAAAAAAAAACATATAAAAAACAGTACCGATACAGGTCGATACGCCCTACCGGTGTATCACCTTATATTGATATTTTGAACCTTGCTTACCCTACAGACATTGTGGAACCTATGAAAAGACACACTACAGGACAAAGTTTGATGTGTCTTTTATGGGTCCCTCCTTGTCTAAAAGGTGATAAAAACCAAGAGTTGGATATACTCATTCATTCTTTACTAGCATTTGTCTGTTAAACTTTTCTTCTTTTATCAGTTGAAGAAAAAGGCAATAACCTCATTCATCTCTGATTATGTAGAATCAAATTTAATGGCTAATCTCATGCATGATATCAATCTCGGAATACAAATTTAAAAGGTGAATGCATTATGATGTTCTTTGGATACATTCATACAAGTTTAGAGAAAACTGTTATCATGGCTGTTACAACCATTACATAGATGTTTCTTTTTGTATCCATTGTCATTTTATTTTGATTACTTACCATAAAACACAATTTATTAATGATGGAAAGTTTTCCTAGAAAAAGTGCTGAACAAAGTCGAGCTCCCATGTCCAGACGAAACCAGGGTTTTCTTGTGTACCCAACAGTAGTGAGAGATTATCCTTTAGTTCTCTAAGATGAATTCAACAGATTTCTTCATTGCATCTTGGCTCAGAATTCAGATACCATGTCACCCTATCTAGGGTGTCTGGTATGCAACGAAGAAGAAGATGAATAAATTAGGGGGTGTACTTGAATGAATTTCCCCACTCCCAAAGAGCAATGTTTTATGGAGATGGGCATAGGATATGTACATATACACAAATATCCTTATTAGGAGGGCAAGTTAAAGAAACAAGAAAGACAAGCAAGAAATAAGAAATACATGATATCCTATATTATATATACAGTATTACAGTAGGGCAACTAGGACCGTCAACACTATGGACCTTCATGAGTACCATCTAATTAGTTGAGACATATCTTGCCATAGGTAAGAGCCAAAAGTGAAGTCATGGATGTAGTCAAGCTGATTAGATCCTTGTAATAGCTAGTTGTCTCCATGTTAGAATCTTCAAGTTATCTTGTTCTAGAGAAGCTTTGAAGTGTTTTTTTTTTATTGGTAGAGTAGCTTTGGAGTACTGCTGCCAAGATTACATTATAGACCCATTTAGGAGGGCTGAGCTGAAGATTCAGCTAGGCTGGTTCAGCTGCTTTGAAGAACTCCAGATAAGCTAATGTTGAAGCAGACAGCCTTTCAAATGACTGACTGACAGCAAATTTGGTCTCTCTGGATTTTTCACCAAATGTCGCTTATAGGCTGTCCGAATGGGCTCCACCTCAAAAAGCCAGAAGCTGCTGTGTTTCAGCCCTCCTAAATGGGCGCTATTTCTTTTCAGGTAAGCTAGCTGGTGGTAAGGAACCTTTTTTTGGTTGAGTGGTAAAATCTTGGGCTGGAAAGTGTGAGAATGTGGATTTGAGTCTGAGAGTGGCCACTATGCCAAAGTTTAGGACTGTATCTGGTCTACCCCTCCTAAGACCCCAGAAAGCTAGGACCAACATTGGGTAATGGCCTTTAAGCTAGCTGGTGGTAGCTGGAGGATGAGTGTTGGAGTGTTTAGTTTGCATGAGGAGTGGAGTTGCTTCAAGCAGAAAAATTATGACTTAGGAATTTTAATGTATATAAGGAATCTCTTATAAGTGAGAGAGAGAGAGAGAGAGAGAGAGAGAAAATTTGGCATGCGGTTTGTTGAACCTAATATTTTCTGTTCTCTACTTGTTCTCCCTTCTTTTTTTCCCTTATTTATTTGTTATTCATGACAAGAAATAGAATGGTGAGAATCATTGTTAAACGTGAGTGACAATAACATAATGTTCCTCCATGCATATGCTAATTTGTGAAGGATGAACATCATTATATTGTAATGGTCTAATGGAGGATGACAGATGTGATTGTGTACTCCTACAGAAGCATCTGGAAAGGGAGAATGTGAGAAGGCCTGAGGATAGGGAGGCTGAATCAGCTAAGGGCAATAATTGAACAAAGCCCCCTGAAACTGCAGGCAGGATTGCCCAGAGAAGGATCTTACCCTCAAAAATCAATCACTAAAAAAGAGATGATGGATTGCATTTTGCAATCCCTCCTTAGTCCTGCAAACCTTTTTTTGAGCCTTACTTTTCCTCTTTCTTTTGTTGCCTTTGGTGAGTTCTAAAATTGTAGAACACTATAACAATACATGAGTAAATGTGCATTCTTAATATGGGTCTTTTTTATAATATCATGCATTCTGAATAAGAGTTTAACTTTATTATTACTTTGTACTTGTAGCAATGATCATGTAATGAAATTTATACTACATAGTTGTTGGGGGCATTTCCCTTTTTATTGGAAGTTCATAAGCAATGCTGCTTTCCATCTGGATATATGCAGGTAGTGGTTAGAAATGTACCTCATGTTTCTGGTCACTCAATATCACAAAGTGTGGACCATTTTTTCCAAACTAACCATCCAAATCATTATCTTGGTCACCAGGTATTACAATTCTTGTTGTTTAGACTTATGTATGCATGTATATATGCATTTATCTTGTTGCATTGTATAATTTATTCAAGGGGGTACTTATTCTTAATTCAGGCTGTGTATAATGCAAATAAATTTGCCAAACTTGTGAAACAAAGAGAAAGGCTTCAAAATTGGCTGGATTATAACCAACTTAAGTATGAAAGAAATCCAGAAAAGAGGCCGACTAGAAAGGTATAGACTTAAAATAGTTTTGAAGCCCTTTTTTACTTGGATATTTATGTCCATAAAACCTAGTTGGTTTTAGAGTGTGTGCTGAACTTTGATAAAATGGCTTATATACCTTCTTACATTTCAGACAGGATTTCTAGGCCTTTGGGGTGAAAGAGTGGATTCAATTGAATTTTATAAGCAAAAGATGAAGGATCTTGACAAAAGGGTAAGTTGTCACTTGATTCCTTGATTTTACATGACTTATGATAGCTCTTATATTTATTAGATGCCTTTGTAATAGGATCAATGTGTATAACTGTGATAACTTGATTGAAAGATCAAATGATCTTCTGGAATCCTTTTTATCAATGTTCTTTGCTTCAGATGGCATTGGAACGCCAGACGATTCTCAAGGATCCAAAATCTATAATGCCAGTAGCTTTTGTTTCATTCAATTCGCGATGGGGGGCTGCTGTATGTGCACAGACACAACAGAGCAAGAATCCTACACTATGGCTTACTAATTGGGCTCCAGAACCACGTGATGTGTATTGGAGGAATCTTGCTATACCATTTATGTCTCTGAGCATCCGGAAGCTTGTAATATCAATATCACTGTTTGCATTGGTGTTCTTTTACATGATACCCATTGCTTTTGTCCAATCACTTGCAAATCTTGAGGGTCTTGAAAGGGTTGCTCCTTGGATCAGACCAGTCATAGAATTGTAAGTAATATCATTCTTTTCTTGCCGCTATAGTATATCCTGCTACTTTAAAAACCTAATATTTTAAAGTTTAAGAGTTTTTAGGAAATTGAGTTTAAACTTCAATCTGGCAATATATATCTGGAGCTTGAAGTTTACTTTACTGGATGTTAAACTTGCAAATTTAATGCCTATGTATCTGTTTACCTACAAGTTAAACTTCAATCTGGTAACATTTGTCTATGTATCTGTTTACCTACATACCTACCTTCGTAAATATTCTTATTTGTTTCCCAGTCCTTAGAGGGCCTCATTTGTGGGGCTGTCCTTTTCCTGGAAACCAGTGGCACTTGTTTTTTCTCTCCTTACGTATTCATAATTTCTTTATTTGGATTAAAAAAACAAGGAAGTAGGTATATAAACCAAAGGGCTTGGATGAGGAGATTTTAGAGTTTTAAATGTCATGTTGGAACTATCTTTGGTTTTTGGTGGGGAAAAGAGTGCTCTAGGTTTCTCACATATATGGGTTGGTTAACCATGGTTCGCTTTTGAAGCAATTTCTACACATGGTCTGAAGTTAAGTGCTTGTGCATTTCTAGTGAGGGTCAACTAAAAGTCTGCAATGGTTTGGTGTTGAGATAAAATTTTATAGGTAATGAATGGTTATATTAAATATGCGCCTGATACGATATATCCTAGCATCCTAAATGATAAAGAAAAGAACAAAAGAAATTTCACATTATGCTTCTTTTTTCTGCCCTGCATTAGTGCTTCACAGTATCAGCCCATTGTCTCCTTGTATCTTTTTCTGTGTTGTCCTTAAGCTCTTTCAGAACTGGTAAACCCATAATGTATAGGCACACATCTTTGTATTTTCTTTTTATGGATTTTGAGTTGGCCTAAAATATCCTCCTATTTCTTTCTTGCCATATCCTCCAAACGACCACATTGTGCTGACATAAACTTCATTGCTTGATAACTATTAGGCAGGCATAATGGTGTAGGACTGCTTGCTCTGGTACCAATTGATGTGGGGCATGAATGACCAAAAGAGGAACTTAGGAGGGTTAGGGTGGGCTTAGGAGTGATTTAGGACAATAAACAAAAATTGGCTATGGTAGAAAAATCCATGGACTTGAATGCAAAAATTGTAATTTATCCCAGAATGGTGAAAATTTTCAAAATAGTAATTATAGGTCTGAGATAGGAACTATTTAGTGAAATTTTATAGATGGGGTTAGAATGGATAGTTGTAGGGGGTGATCAAGTTTGGTCTGATTTTAGGTACATTATGCATGAAACGATGATTTTTTTTTTGGATTGGGAGAAAAACTCAAAAACTAAGAAATCAAGGATTCCAAGTGAAATTTAGGAATGATTTTTGGATGGATGAAATGATGTAAGGATGTATGGGGGGTGTCCAAATATGGGATGGATTGGAGATGGTTTGTCACAGAATGATGAAAATAAAATGGGAAAATATTGGGTTTTGACGAAAATTAAATGACAAATCACCTAGATAAGTTCTATCTTTGAGAACTTTGAATGAATGTAATTTGATGAATAACTTATGGCTATTGATGGCTGTAATGGTTTCTTGAAGGATTAAAGAGAAAATAAAGAGAGAATGAAGAGAGAGAAAATCCAGAATCACTCAACAAAGTTCCTAGAATTTGCTCTAGGGCATGGGAGTCACTCACCACACGTAGTATATTATCTGTAATATCTCAAATAAACTCCATTTGTTTATCACATCCATGTTTTTTGCACTTTAACATATATACATAGTATATAAGTGACAAGGAAAAACAGAAATTACAGAATTGTACTATCATAAGAAAATAACTCCTAAGCTACTTAACCAATGGGCTTGAAATTATAACAACAAAATGACTATACAAATCAAACTGCTAGGCTAAACCCCACTTACAACATATAAAATGACGAAAATACTCCTACTGTGTAAAAAATACATGAAGGTTTCAAAGCATTTCAGTTTTGGCTTCTTTTCTCTTGTATCACACAACTCTGCAAGTAGAGAGAGAGAGAGAGAGAGATTATGAATACTGGTTCTCTAAAAATGTCAAGAAAGCTGGCCCATGGTCTGGGAATCCAATGAAAGGAGATGCAAAAACAGCTTAAACAAGTAGACTATCCTACAAGTAGAAGATAAAAATTCCGAATACAATAACTACTCATAATCTAACCMTAGCATAATTATACACCATGTAATTAGCAAACCTTGGGAAATGAAGGCTCCTTTCTCAATGATAAAATCTGTCTCCCAATGCCACTAAAACCAATCAAATGATCACTAGGGTCCTCTGACTCTTAATTTAATTAGTAATTATATCAAGAATTTTATTAATCAAAAGTGGTGATAGAGAATGATTACACCAATTAACTTGGAAGATATAGCCTGATCACTCAATGCTGTCAGGCTAGGATGAAGGACATAACCTATGTCAATTAATCTCTTCTTTTCAACAGCTTCTTTCTCTGGGAATTTAGTCAAGGCAGGACTAAATCTAGCTGCTTGGTCTAGAAGAGCCTATTGCTTTATGAGCCCTTGGATACTCAGGGCTTGACCATGGTGCATAAAAAGGTGGAGTAGAGGCTACATGCTTAGTTGAAATATGCCTTGGCTAGGTCCATCCATAGGCCCTCAGGCAAGTACCATGCAAATTTCAAATACATGAAATTGTGTTGACTTATTATTCGTATTTACCTTTGAGTTACATGGTCTTCTGAAGAAAACCTTATTTTTGAATCGTCCTAGTTGATTTGTTTAAACCCTATTCCTTCTTCTGGCTTGAACACGTCTTCATATGAGCATTACAAACATTTTACTGAATCTCTTGATAGAATATCTACAAGACAGTATTTTCTTCTGTTTTTTTTACAAATGTTGACTATGGATACTTGTATTATTATGCAGGAAGATCATCAAATCATTCCTCCAGGGTTTCCTTCCTGGTCTAGCTCTTAAGATTTTCATGTACATTCTTCCTACTATTCTAAAGATAATGTCAAAAGTCGAAGGTCATTTATCAATATCAACAATTGAAAGAAGTACGGCGGCTAAATATTACTATTTTATGTTGGTAAATGTCTTCTTGGGAAGCATAGTTACTGGAACTGCTTTTGAGCAACTTGATTCTTTCCTTCATCAATCACCTACCCAGTAATATTTCTTATCCCTCTGATGGACTTTCTCTAGTGAATTAAGAAGTTCCATGTTCTTGTTTGCTGTTTTGCTATTCTACTTTCATTCTACAATATAAAGTACCTGTAGAATATTGATGTTGGGAAGAAAACATTGTGCATTTTAGCAAATATAATATAATATCTTGGTTAAGGAACCAATCTTCTTGGGTCAACTGAGTAGCATTATAACCTTGAAAAACTGAAATATGAAAGTTTCTCATCTAGAAATGGTTATTTTTATGGTCTAATTTTGATTTTGTATTTAAACTATCCTCTAATTCATTAACTCATAACACACTTTTTTAATTTTAGTTGAAAGACAGCCCACTTGATGTATGGAACTGTTTGAGATTAGATGCAAACCTGAAAATGAACAAACAAGAGAGGAAGAAAGAGAGAGCTGGCGGCAATGAGTGTTAGAGAGTAAGAGGTTCGAACATAACCTCTCTCTAACACTCTAAACATCTTATTAAGAAGTTAATCTTTGACAAATTACAGAGAGGCCCTTGAGTGGGCAGGAAAATACAAAAAACAGAACATTACAGAGTATGGGCCCAGAATAAGGCCCATAACAGAGAGAAACATAACATAACATGAAATGACAGTCTATGGGCCATTCGGCCCATCTTCTCTACAATTTTCTTTTATTGTTAGTAGGACTCGTATTAATTATTAGAAGCTTGATTTTGAATTTGAAGTGGATAGTGCTTGTGGTTGGGGGTAGCATGTCAATATCAATATGATAGGCAACTTAGGGTTGAATACAGTACGAAGTCTTTCACATCTATTTTATTGCATCCATGAGTTGGTAATCTCGTACATCTGAGGAGGCATCTGTCAACAAGTTAACTATTGTTTACTAAGCTTTAGTGCACACGAGTCTTCATCATTTGCCTTTTGTTGTGCTTTCCAGAATTCTAATGTTATCAAGAAATGATTGCAGAATTTCTGCTGATTTTATTCAAGTGACTTTCTCTCCTAATTCTTGATACATTCCCAATTTCTCACTAAAACAACTAAAAATATCTTTACAACTAAGTGTTAATATGAGTGACTAGGCAATTGTAACATTGAAAAAGTGACCATGGGATGTAGAAATTTTCAATTTAAAGAAACAAATTTCAAGAGAACTGATAAAAATGGGTAAGTAAAAGTAAACTAAATCTAGGTTATGGTTCAACCATAGTTTTCAGCTTTGTGTTAAGCCAAATGTTTAAACTGAAACATTTTGGTTTTAATGACATTCAAATTGAAGCAGTTGTAAAAAATAATATATCTATTACATTTTGATCAAACTGTGTTTTGTTTAGTTAGTGTTGACTGGAATATTCTATTCTTAGAGCTTCATAACTTGGTTTGGGCATCCATTTTCTTGGTTTGGGCATACATACATACATATATTCTTTTAAAACCTTTTTTTCACTAACTCCTATATTACAAATGGTTGAATCCTTGATATGTTTGTCTTTTTCACAGAATCCCTAGAACCATTGGGGTTTCAATACCAATGAAGGCCACATTTTTTATTACATATATAATGGTTGATGGTTGGGCTGGTATTGCAAGTGAGATTCTCCGACTGAAGAAACTTGTGATATTTCACCTTAAGAACATGTTCCTAGTTAAAACAGAAAGAGACAAAGAGAAGGCAATGGACCCTGGAAGTGTGAAACTCTCAGAGACTCTGCCAACCCTCCAGCTATATTTCCTTCTTGGGATTGTGTATGCTGTGGTCACTCCAATCCTTCTTCCTTTCATACTCGTGTTCTTTGGATTTGCATACCTTGTTTACCGGCATCAGGTTGCTAAATTCTCACTGCTTGGTTTTGTTTTCCTTCATGATTTATCTCTATTGTTCTTGTTAATTAAGCAGTTTCAGAAAAATACATGATGGAATTGGTTGAAACTTTTCTTTAAAAACAGAGTAGCAATTTGGATGTGGTATTCTTGCAAAACAAATTAATCTGTATTCTAGCAAATTTACTTTATATTTTGACTCTTTCCTGCTTTGACTTCTGGTAATGGAGTTTGCTTGTTGGATCTTGTAGATAATTAATGTGTATAATCAACAATATGAGAGTGTTGCTGCATTCTGGCCACATGTCCATAACCGCATAATTGCAAGTTTGTTGATATCTCACCTTCTTCTAATGGGCCTTCTCAGCACAAAAAAGGCTGCTAACTCTACCCCTCTACTTGTTGTACTACCTATATTAACTTTGTGGTTCCACAAATACTGCAAAAGTCGCTTTGAACCTGCATTCAGAAGATACCCACTGGAGGTAAGCTCCATAGAATGCTGTATGTATTTTATTTCATTTGCACTATGTTTCTATAGGGAAGTAAATCGAATATCGTTTCTCAGGAGTCAGGAGTTGCAGGGAAATGCCATTTTAAATTTTTATTTATGAAAATTTTGGTTTCTATCCTGATCAATGACAACTAAAATGGACATATTGTAGTTTGTTGTACAAAACATATACTGGTCTCCAATTTCCAATATAATGCAGGCCTCTTTTACATGGATGAAGATTTCCACTATTATCTAATCTGTGGTTACCATACAGAAAGACATGATACCGGAAGGGCTATGACCAATCAACCCCCA